CTAACAAAAGGACGGGTGAATCCCTTTTAAAGGAGATATTTTAAATGACAATATTACGGGAGAAACCGTTAAGGAGCTTGAATAAAAGAATGAGAAAATCCAGGTCAAAACGTTAAAGGGTTAAAATCACATACATGACTTACGTAATAGCCTATGCAATGGAGCGTTGCAAAGGATTAGAACAGACAACTCTTAAAAAAGCTCAAAATATATGTAAATTAAAACAACCATTCTGACACAATGAAATCCAGAAAAAATATATAAATTTCACTGGCTGAATTTATGACTGAATCATAAAAACAGCTAGAAACCAGATTTCAAATAATATAAATTCCCTAGCCTCTCAAAACACTTTTTCAATACCATTCTTTCATATATTTTTATATTATTTACTTCAGAAACTAGTACTAGTCAGTTATTCAGCAAGAAAAAATTATGGTAGGTATTACGGTAAATTATGGTATGTAAAATTAATGATGTTTATATTACATTTTAGCTTCTTCATTACCATATATCAAACTTTCCAAAAGTAATGTACCTCTACCAGATATTGCAAGACTAAAATACAAACGACTTTATATAGAACTTTGTGTATTCTACATGTATAAGCATTTGTAAAATGTTATCCAAATACGTTAAAATCAAAAGAAATTTCTTTAGCACAGCAATATCCAGAAAAACAAATTTTACTGGTTGGATTTATGCCTAAGTTGCAATACTACTCAAAAGTGAAAATTACTTAATGATAGTCAAATTTTCAGAAAGAAAAAAGTTATGGTACTAGATTTTTTTTAAATTCTACTTTCTTCAATATGACATATCTAACTTTCTCAAAATAATAAACCTGTGAAAGACAAAAATACAAACAACAGAACTTTGTGTCTGTATATTCTACACACAATAACATTTAGAAAATGTTATCTAAATATAGGTAAATTAAAAGAAATTACTTTGGCATAATGAAATCCAGAAAACCATAATTTTACTGGTTGGATTTATATCTAAATTGCAATACTACATGTAAAAGTTATGGATATGTCAAAAAATAAGGTTTTAAATATATGCAAACTTATTCTACAGCTTTGCTAATGATTCACTAACACGCTGGAGATCCTCCTCCTTTTCCCACAAACCTTTTCAATGCCATTCTCATATTTCTGTTTTCCGCATTATAGCATCAAAGATTGCTACTGATAAATTTTTCAGCAAATTCAAAGGATTGTGACAACAGATGTCTATATAAGAATTCGGTTTCCAATTCATCTCATGCAGTGATTAACAAGTCTGGAGTAATGGAAGCAACAGTCTCTTCAATTCTGTCTCATCTCTGACAAATCAATAGGTAGTGGAAGAATGTAGACATGATCTTTTATATAAAAACACGAAAGGAAAAAACTCGCATGGCATTCGGTCAGGTGAACGTGGACACAAGCAAAAAAACGTTCTGTCATCTCGACTACTACGACTAATCCCAACTATCACGAACTCCGGGATTCAACAAATCTCATACAAAGAGATTCCAATAGGGAGGGGCTTTATTTTGCTGCCAAATAAAGTTTACAGGTTCATCCTCTACAAACTGAGAAACTAGCCGTTTTTGTAACATAAGCAGATAAGCCACCTGTTAATAGCTTCAGCAAAACAAAACGGTTCGTAAATTAGACGTCAGGGCCAAATGCGGAAAATGTTTAAATTTTAGTAAATCTCTTTGGTGTTCTACATGTTCATAAGGATGTTTCGACTCCCAGATATGAATAAGGGATATTTACTTTCACGCACTGATGAGAAACTGACTCATCACTGAATACCACATGATCAAGAAAGTCATCTTCCCCCTCGAACACTTCACTTGCAAAGTTAAAGTGTACACTATAATCACCTGGCTTTAGAAGATGTACCAACTGTAACCAGCAAGGATGCATGCATAAACATTTTTCTAACACCTTCCAAATGGTCGCCACTGGCAAATTAAAGTTTAAGACTTGATTTCTGAACAATTTCTTAGGACTACGAAGGTAAGATCCTCTGACACGGTCCACACCCTATACAGACACTTTTGATCATCCTGTGCTTTTTTCCTTTACAAACACATCTGGTCATTTTGAATTGTCTATACCACTGGTGGATGTTTTGCTACATGGGGGAATAACAATTAAACTTTAAACAAAACACAAGTTGAACTGAAATTAGAGATTCACCCTTAACAAATTTCAGAACACAAAACACTTTATGCTCAGGAATTGCCATTTTGCTTATGTGGCACTGCAAGCAAGAAAACGACAAAGCAGTACTCACACATGCACTTAACTAGAACTGTTGAGATACTCTTTAATTCTAACCTTGAATCTACACTCTACAACACTTACAGCTAATATAATTAAAATTTTATTTCAAATTTAATCTATATGTTACTGAATAATAAAGTAAGCAATTTAAAAGTAATAAACAGTCCTTCATCTCTATTTTATTAATTACTAACTAGAACCATGAAGTTACACCAGCTGACTCATAAAAATCATTGCCCCACCCTTTTTTATAGGCATTTTTTAGGCAGCTGGATGGTTACACGTAGAAAAGGTAAAAATGTTATCAAGAATAGATATTTAGACTGCACTGATTACACTATGTAAAGCTTATTAAGAATGTGCTTCTCAAGAATTAAATATTATATTCACTACTACAACTGCAGCATTTACATACCAACGGCATCTTTAATTACTTCATTATTTTTTATATATATATACACAAGCATTAACAAACCACATGCTAAGATAAACAACTGCACAATTATTTCTTGAATGGTTAGTTGTAAACCAATGGTTCCTGATTAAGTAGCAGGTTTAAAAAAAGGGGGAGACTTACAGATTAGAATTTATACAGGCATTTAGATTGTAATTTATGACGATCATATGATAAAAAATATACAAAATTTATATTTTTTTACATTCCTCAAAGGAAGTGCAATGACAAAAAAGTTTTTCACAGTTCTGCTTGTCAACTGCAACCACCCTTTCTTGCCTCCCTCAAGAAATACAACTAGGCATCAAATTGTGACAAATGGGAACACTATTGTTAATTTGCCCTTTAATGTTTTCTTTGCCCTCAACAGACCCTCTTCTATTATGAGGTCAATAAAGCAGAAAATATTAGCCTTCTTGCAATCACCGTCAAACATTCTCTGTATACATTTTGTGTGCGGAACAGATTTCATATGTGGCTGCAAACATTAAACCAGTAATCAAATTCCTGCTGTGGTGGGCTGTTACTACAGTTCTTGCTATAGTTACATACACTGGTGAATAAATTAAGAGAATTTGCATATTTTATCAAATTGCATGAAAAGAACTGAACTGAAGGAAAAACCACTGCTTCTAGATAAAAATGAAAATCTCATACAGCAAATACGTAAGCGTACACGTGTGTGTAGGTAGAGCCAGCAGAAAAACAGGCTTTATAAACGCATGGAGGGTAAGATGAATTGCTTTCGCTAGCACACCTCAGCGAATTTCTTGGCGTTATCTTGCAGCAATCAGTTAAATTCACACCGGAACAGTAAAAATGAGTAATCATCATCGTTTAGATGATGGAATTAAGAGGACAAATTATGGGGAGGCTAGAGGCAGGCCAATTGCAAGTCTAGATATGCAGAGAGTTTAATTTAACGTCCAGCGTCATGTGTAACCTATGGAAACAGTTCCAGGATACTGGATCCATCAAAAGAAACCCTGGGCAACGTCGTCCAAGAGCCACGATGGCCAGAAAAGATCGCTATTTGTCCATTTTAGCAAGGCGTAACAAAGGGGCTACAGCTTCTCAGCCCTCTCAGGACCTATATGCGGCCACGTTTAACAAGGGTGACTCTTTCCAACAGACTGAATAAGTGCGGGTTGTTTGACAGAGAAAACCGGCTGATTGAGTCCTGCTCATGTCTACGGGTAGGAGAGTCCAATTAGCATGATGCAGGCAGCATAGTGATTAGAGTACAGAGCAATGGGTGACCATCCTCTTCACCAACAGTCCTGAACAGTCTAAGTAAGCCGCACGGGTATCCAGATTCTACTCTCAACTGTCACCGACGAGTCCGGTTTTAGACCAAACACCGATTCTCGCCGTACTTTCAGAAGGAGAGAGCCAGGGTCCTGCCACCTACCATCCAACGTCCGCAAAATCAACAATTATGGCAGTGTGATGGTCTAGGCAGGCATCATGTTGGATGGCCACACACCTTTCCACGTCTTTGACAGAGGCTTTGTGACTGGTGTGAGATATAGGAATGAGGTCTTGGAGCCTTATGTTTGCCTTTTCCGGGGTGAAGTGGGCCCCCGAGTTCATCGTACCAGACATAGAGCTCTTCTGGTCGATGAATTTCTCGAGAATGAGGATATGGATTGGTCAGCCAGGTCTCCAGACGTCAACCCTACAGAGCATGTCTGGGATGTACTGGGTAGGGCAATTGCAACTCGCAACACCCCTCTGTGATCCATCCAGGAACTGAAAACAGCGTTGCTGAATGAGTGGAAACAATTGCCACAGGCACTGATAAACTGCCTTATTTCCAGTCCGACATCATGCTGCGAGGCCTGCATGGCTGTATGAGGGGACCATATCCCTTATTAACCCATTTCTCTTGTGTCTTCTGCAACTGCTGTTTCAGACCTTCAGACTCCCATGAATGTTAGACACAAACATGTGTCTATTATAACTGTTGAATGTTTATTTTGTTTGTATTATATCAACCTATGTTCACACCAAATTTTATTAAAATCTGTCCAGTAGTTCCGGAGATCTTAGATCAAATATGAACATTCTCTTAATTTCTTTCACCTGTGTAGTCACAGGAAAAAGTTTCATAAGTTGTCTTGCTCTCTCTGTGTATATATATATATAATTTATTTACTAAATAACATTGAATATAAACATAAGCAGAGAAGATGAGACTTAAAGGCTGTCTTAAATGCTAAGATGAATTAGAATGTGAATGGAGCAATTTTTCACGTTACCAGGCATAATTGTTCCCATAGGTGCTGCAGCGGCATAAGGATCTTGGTTCATCACATAGGGACTGGAAGCGAAAGGTGCAGGGGAAGCTGCTGGATTTGCAGCTTGCATTTGGCCTTGTTGCTGCATCGGAAATTGCTGCTGGCCCATCACAGGCAAAGGTTGGCCCTGACTACGTGAATAAAGCTGAAAAGTTAAAGAATGTTACAGCCGAAGATAAATAAAGATTCTCATTAATAACTCTAGAATTCACCATATTGGCTATACCTACTAAATTTATATTTAAATTATACTGTACAGAAACAATTTTACTAAATTAGCATTATTTTTTAATCATATAACGTATACATTAAAAATGAAAAATATTATAATCAGCATTTTATCAGGACTTGTCTAGAGCAGGGATGTGCAAACAAATCTCATTTTTTGGAAGCTTTAATCAAAATTATCCCGGGAACAATGTTGTTTTTATACATTGTGTTTTACATCAAGATCCTCTGTGTAAATCTACATTGAATATGAAAGCCGTGCTTGATGCAGTCGTGAAGCTTGTAAATACTATTCGATCTCGTGGGCTTACTCACAGGCAATTTTGAGATTTTCATCAGTCCATGCAATTTGAATAGTCTAATACACTGTATTACACGAAAGTAAGTGGCTTAGTGCAGGATGTGTTTTCGAGCAAGTTTGTCGGCTGAAAGACGACATTGTGTCGTTCTCCCATGAGAAATGGTATCCTGCGGAGTGCAAAACATTAGAAGATACAAAATGGCTTTTGCACTTTGCATATTTTCACAGATTTTCGTTGTCATATGAGCAACCTGAATGTCCAGATGAAAGGGGAAAATCAATTTATCGATAATATCTGGGCCCAACTGAAAGCTTTTAAGCTAAAACGTAATCTGCTTGTTGGGCAGCTAGCTAAGAACGACTTGTTGCATTTCCCAAGGTTAACTTCAGTACCCTCAGTAAATAAAGATCTAAGAATTATGAAGGTGGCTTAAAAAAACTGACTTTTGAGTTTGAACACAGATTTCAACATTTCAGTGCCACTCAAACAGAATTAGATATTTTAACCATGCCTTTCAACGTAAATTGTAAAGCAGTGAGGTCAGATTTTCAGCTTGAATTAATCGAGTTTCAATCTAACAATCATCTCAAGCAGTTGTTTATGTCAAAGTTAAAGTTTTACAAGTCATTATCGAAAGAAAGTTCCTCATATTTAATATCTCATGCCCAGAAAATCAGTGCTACATATGAACATATATTTTATATATATGAAGAAGCGTTTTTAACTATGAACTTAAGAAAGAATTATTTCAGAAGTAGGCTGACAGATGATCATTTAGCCTTGTTCCAATCCATTACCCCTAATTCCAATCCATCTTTGCCTTCAACCTTTAAAGAAATTATGTTCTAGTTCTGGTTTCATCAACAGATGGTGCCAGTAGCTTATCTCCTGTCCAGGCTTTCTAATCATTATATCCTATCTCGTTCATTTGCGCTTTTGCAGCTGAGGATGATGGTTCGGTAAAACCATCGAAACTAGTCCTGTGAAAATTTGAAAATATAACGCTGATTTTTGTTGTTGGACTTTTGAATTAGTATTTGTTCGGCGTGTTATTGTTGTCTTATTTAAATTGTAAAGCTTGTTTATTGTTTTTAAAATTCTAGAAAATTTCATCTTGCCCCACCAAACTTTTTTTTTTTTCGGTTTTTGGCCCGCGGCCGAAAAAGGTTTGCTCATTGGTTTAGAGCATTAAAGTTCAACTTTAAGTAACTATATTAAATTTTAACACAGGAGGGATGTTGTTTAATTGAAGTATTTAGTTTTTGTACCCAAGTCAAAATTACAAGATTAAAAAATCTTCATATGACTGACAATTAAACTTATATGGAAAAAATACATGAAAATTAAGCTGTTTCACAGATTAAGGCAACATTCTGATTTACTGTTCAGCTTTCTGGGTTCGTCAATAGGCACTCAGCAATACAACAGCATCCTTAAAAAATGTACATCAAAATCGCCAAATTACTAAAAAAGCTGCAGAAAATTAGCCAATTTAATTCTAACACATATTAAAAAATATACTGCATTTATTTGATTATCATTTTCTACTCTTCCATGCATTCCAAAAAAGAAAATTCGCACAGTTGGAAATTTTAGACAGATAAACAGCTGGGAAAACTGGAGACGCACTGTTAAACTCCATTTCATAATTTTTTGTCCCTTTTATACAGTGCTATTTTAGTACTTTCAAAGAATTTACTAAGATTAAATATACATATTAATTACAAACTTCTCATATTCTATACAGCAGATGCAATATAAATATATTTACCTCCATAAAAAAATGCTGAGGATCTGTACAAGAGAAGTTTGATGAGCCAAATTTTTCATCAGCTCTATTTAAGACCATTTTCCTTGATGTCATCTAAAAACAGAAATACATTAATTTTCAAAAAATAATATTCTATGTTTCTCGTGCTGCAAGCACAATTAAAATATTATTTAAATAAAAAAATACCTGACTGCCATAATCCATAGTATTTGGTGAATCTATTGATTGCATAAAAGCTGACGAATAATCAAACTGAAGAGGATCTATTCCTACATTTTCAAAACCAGGGTCTAAACCACCTAAAGATGGTCCTCCTGACTGCATATTTGTTCCCGATGATGGTGGCATCATTTGTTCAGAATGCTTTGGCAATTTTTCATTCATCATATGTTTCTTGCCTCCTATGTCTTCACTAGGAGAAGACTGTCTGCTATTAGAAGCGTGGCTGTAATAATGATAAATGCAGCATTAATTACTATTATTAAGTTATTAAATTATTAGAAAGTCTGTGAAATAATTAGAGCCCCTTTTTCAATAACTTTAAATCTACTCAATTTTTGTCAGGAAATGGCAATTTTGAAAGCCAGATTTGCTTCACATGCTTTGTGCAAACTGCAGAACTGATGATGAAGATCTTAAATTATATTTTTCTATTCTTCTTCAGTGTGTTCATCATGTTCTTATGTACTTTTTAAGGATACAAAAATACATCTTCCAAATAAGGATTATGATCCAAGAACAGGCAAAAAGTTTTATAAGTAGCTTCACTAACTTTGGGTTCATAAACAATATTTAGAATGATTTTTTTTCCTCACTACTAAAACAATTATTTAGAATTTAGTAACAAATGGTGTATGCAAAGAGTACTCGGTACATTCCCAATACTCGAAATAATTTTTAAATGTAACTTTTCTTAATGCTTTAGTAGAAGTAAAACATTATGCGAAATAACAACATTATTTCGCATACCTGTAATACTCAATTTACAGATCCTATAGCTGAATGTAGTTAATTATTAGTGTAAAAACAAAACCCAAAGTTTTGCTACAAAAGTAGACTTAATGTTATACATAATATTCTGTTTAGATAGTTGCAAATTAAATAATCAGATACCAGCAAAAGTAGTAAGAGAGATAACCTTTTATGATAGGAGATGGTAGTTTTCAATCTTTAAAAAAAAAAAAAAAAAAAAAAAAAAAAAAGCTACTTTTCAAATTTATTCTTAAAAAATAAATGGCATACTTAAGATTACTTGCAACAAATCATTAAACTTGTAGCAATTTAAAGTAATTCAGCACATCTTAAGTGTGCTTCCAATTTAACATTTCATATGCAGTTGGTAACCTACAAAGTTTATTTTGGTTTGCAAAGTCAAAAACCTAACATGACTTATACTTTGTTGTACTTCTGAACTTATTTAGAAAACAATCAGGTGAATGAATTTAAGCACACACACACACAGAACACCCCATGAGAAGGAAAAAATAACAAGGGGTGGGAAGAGGAAAGAAATCAATCAGATGAGATTTATTTTTCAACACAATGATTATTTTTAACAGAAATGTTCCCCCCCCCCCCGTGATGACAAATGCTTGATAGTACACTTCAAACTAAATAATTAAATTTATACATTTAAAGCCATTGTGAATAATTCCTTCACAATTTGTATCAATTTTTACTGCATGAAGAAATTTTATGACTGTACTGTATGAAGTATTTTAGCCAAACTCTTGGTGTCTGGGCTATGCATAATTCAAATACTGCTAATTTCACACATAATTATGTTCCTATATCTATCATAGATGCTACAAAATGCATCTTTCTGAAATACCACCAAAATATATGTTTGAAAAAAGGGTCTTCCAAGTCAAAACACAAAATGATAAGGAATTTAATTTGAATATTCTATAGAATATAACTATGTTCTACAGAACATTATGAATTAAGCTTTTGTAGAGACTCAATAAGTAGTGGAGAAAACTTGACTATTACAAAACTTGAAAATGAAGACTATGCATGCCTAAAAGCAACTGAAGTTAAGCCCCAGTTTTATGTTTTAGGTGCTTTTTAAGCTAACAGAATAAAGAATAAGTTGGAAATGAAATAGTCTCACAAGACAACCGACTTTAAGAAACTAGTGTTTTACCTTAATTCTTTGAGCGACTAAAAACAATAATATATTCAATATTATCAACTCCCTTTCCTCATTTTCAAATTCTTGGGCCTAATCAAGAGATTCCGAAAATATAATGATAGCATAATCACATAAATTATTATATATGCTAAACTAATGAATGCACAAATTTTACAAATTTAAAAAGAGCAAAATTTTCAGAAAATTTTTGTTTAATTCATCAAAAGAAGATTAAAAATTATGGTTTATGTTTTCTATTGAATTTTGCTATACAAAATGTTTTCAGATTTTTTTATTTCAAAGCATAAAAAAAACTTAAACAGCAACAATTTGCAAACTGAAAAATAAGCTTTTTACTTTAAGTATTCAAAATTATATTTTAACCCCTTCGAGCTGGGTAGCGAAAACGCGCGCTTATCGCGGAGGCCGGCAGTGTCTTACGCGAGCGTCTCTCCAGGGCCGGGGGCTTTTTTGCTACTAAGCCTAAATCCATGAAATTTCCGAAGTATCAACGCATTGTTAATAATGCTCTATAGAGTATTTAAATGGCTTATGCTTTATAGATATTTTTATATAATACTTTAATTACCTTATTTCTTGTTTAAATGCATATTTTACACATTTTATTTTAATTACTCACCATTTATGACTTTTAACATTATACATCTGAAAACTAAATATATTACTTAAAATTCTCTTTTCGTATGAAAAATTTTAAAACAGGATCTACACACAGTCTTACGTTACATTCCTTGAACTCGTAATAACTCATTTGCCGTTTTCAAGGATTTTTCCGGGAATGTGAACAAACGAAGCATCGTCGTCTCATTTTCTTATCAGTCTCTTCTGAACAAAGTTTTGGAAAATGTCTTTCAGTTAATCTTTCAGAATCAATATCAGAATTTCAGAATCAATATCTGAAATATTTTGCATCATTTCTGCTATTTTCATGCTCTGTTAAACATTTTCGATGCTTCGACATTGAAACGGTAAAAACAGAAAGAATTCACGTCTAACAAGATCTAATTATTTTCTAAAAACTGAACTGTAAACGGAAATAGTCAACGCTTTAGCGCATATAAAACTTCTACTTACAATAAACAACTACCACGTGCGAATAAAGTGCGATTTAAAGAGACTTCATAAATCACGCCATTCGGAAACATTTAGTTTCCCGTTTGTTTATATAATCAAAAACACGTGTATATGAGTCATGCTTCTCTCATTTCGAGTAGAAGGTCTAATGTATATGTATCTGAAACCATATGGACATACAGTGCCATCTTGTGGCAGAAATTATAGTTTGAAAAACATTCCAAGGTACTGGCACAAATATGTGACAGTCGGTAGAAAACGCAACAATGCTCTGGCACGCATGCGTGTCGGTAGATAAGTGTGTTCGTTGCTGGCATGTATACGTGACAGTCGGCGCGAAGGGGTTAATATTTTAAACCAGGGCTGCCCAACCGATGTCCCGCGGGCCGTATATACGGCCACGCTTAAAGATATAATTAGACTTGCCACAACAAATATTGATATGGACATAAAAGATATTGCTGCTAAACAATTATGGCCACAACGTTCTAATTAATATATTATGAATATTTTACAGTTTTCTTTTTAGTATATATAAAATATTTTTTTAGTTAACATAAACTGACTTTTCATTTATCAACCTTCTTGGCCCCCGAAAAGTTTGGTGAAGAAAATATGGCCCGTAGGCTATGATAAGTTGGACAGCGCTGTTTTAAACAAACAAATACCAAACAAAATGCTGCAGTGAACACTACTAAATAAAGAAACAAGGACCATTAACGTTTGTTTCTTAATATTGTGCCTAGGAAAGTTGTCAATGGTTTTAACCAAATGATGAATGAATTAAATCAGCATTTTTTTTAAATCACAGATTAAAATTAGATAGTCTTTGATTATTTTAATGATGAAAATGTGTTAAATTCAAAGATTAACTTTCTGAAGCCGGCTGGTACAGCAGTTGTACCAGGAGAATGACTTTCTCAGACGCCGGCATTGGTACAACTGTCGTACCATCCATGCCCTCCCCATTTTAGAGAATCGCCTATCTGTAGATCTCTGGGTGGTCCATTGTCGCTGCTCAGAGTAGCCGCTGGCTACGCATTATTTCCCTCTTATCAGTTTGGCTACATTTTGGCAAAAACTGCAGGTTTCGTCTCGCGCCAATATACTTGAAAATCAAATAGAGGCCATCTCTTTCTCAATCTGTCTCATAATTTTGATGCTAATTTTTTTAGTACTGACATTTGCTATGATTAAAACGTCAGCGATTTTGCACGCTCTTTAAGCTTACCATATTTAATGTTTTTTAATCATAACAAATAAGAATAGATTAATATTTTTAGATTTAATGCCCTTCTAGAAAATAGGTAAAACCGCTTTTTATCGTTTACTTCCTTTTCATTTTCATACTTATGAATAATAAGATTTTATTTTTTTTTTTTTTTTTTTTTTTTTTGTGGAGTGCATTAAAACCCATAAGAACTGTTAACTCTTTCAAAGTGCCTCTATTATGTAGGCAATTTTGTCTGATTTATCAGGAGATAAATACAATTGTATGCATAATAGTTTTTGTGATTTTCATTCATTCAGTGATTGCTTTCAATGATTTTCATTGATTGTAAATTAAATAAAATCAATTTATCTTTAGACCCTCTTTTAGGATGAGATCTGCCCAAAAAGTATTTAAATATCAGTAAAGCTCACGTTACTTCTAAATTGAATCAAAACATCAGTTACATTGTATAAAATTTAGGCCAGTTTTATTTGCTGAAATTCTTATACTCCTCAAGAGATAAAGGAAATTCAGACAAGTTAATAAAAAATTTTGATATTGAAAAAGGTTGTTATTTTGTCTGTAATAAGGTGTACGTCAACTTACTATTAAATGTATGAAAATTAGGATTGGATTACGGAAAAGCACGCGAACGCTATCTGCTTAAGGGGATGGATGCTTTCGTGTAAACCTTTTTAAGAGAAAATTGCTCGCATTTACATTCCTGGTGGAAAACTCCACATGTAATCAACCCGTTCTTCGGGTATTGATTGGATTAATTTGTTCGCTTACTGAATTACATCAAAGCACACAACAATTACCTGTATAAGGGGAGTTATGTCTTCGCGGAGGACTTTCTAAGAGAGCTGGCTTGCATTTACGTTACACAAAAACCATGAATCCAACTATTTATCCGGGATTCAAAAATCCAAGCGAGCTACAAGTGTTCAGCCACCTTTACCGCTTTACTGAAGAGCCCGGTAAAAATATTGATAAAGGAAAA